CAAATTAGTATTTTGTATATCTTCCACTCTTCCCATGTCAATTTTTATATCTTTGTTGGTAAGTGATTAGTCTATTATGAGTGATTTTTAAAAGGTTTTGTGGTATTTTTTCTTTATTCACTCACAATCTATCAACACGTCTATTACTTTGTTATGGTTAGATTTACATGTTTATATATTTTAAAAATAGGGTGCAATGGGTATGCATAGTTCGACTAAAACATATCGACCTAAACGGATCGATATACGAAAAAAAAAAGTTAAAATACAATGACGGCAACATGCCATCTTTGGGGCTAGGTGATTGACACGTGTTGCCATATAAAAATTCGACTTTTGAGGATGGAACGTGCATTTCGACTTTTCAAAATGAGACCAATTGGGTGATGGTTTTACTGCTTCGATTGTCGGAGGGCGTTCAGACTCTGCAGATAGATCGACAGTGGTCTTCTAAGAGATTGGGTCACGGTCGAGCGGATACTGCAATGTACATTGTCGTCGGGAAAACATGAGAACTTCGCGGGCTGCAGGCGAACGGGACGGGTCACTGGCTGCGATTGGGTCATGCTCGGTGATCGTTGAGAACGCATGTTGCGTGCGACTGTCTGCTTCTGATCTCCGTGGGTCTCGCGTATCTCAGGGACTTTTGATATATTCCCCGACACCTCTCTGGTTGTCGGCGGAGCAACAAAACTCCGAGATAAAGCTTAGGGGAGCCATGGCCAGTCGAATCGCGTGAGGACGTGCGGTTATGTGTCTCCCAATCCTAAAAGCTTAATGGTGTATTTATAGGGCTATCGCAGGGACCTTAAGAAGGTGATGATGTGAGCTTCTTAAGTTATTGGGCCTGACTGTGGGCCAAACCAACTCTGCTCAATAACTTAAATAATGTTTCGGTACTAACAAAACATTATTGCACTACTTTTATCATCCCCGAATTATATTCGAGACTCCAATACGCTTAAGATGTAATGTCCATCAATTAATTCGATTACTGACAATCAAGAATTAGTTGACATATTGAACCGAATCTTTGTTATTATGTCGAAACTTAATCCACATGCAGGTTTTAACATAATAATATTTCATGATATCACTTCGAGGACAATATCAAACTAACCCACATTGTGACCGCAAATGTTCTAACAACAGATCATACAGGCAACACTATTACCCAAAACACGAGGACTATTGACCTAGCATAA